TCGCATGCATGTGTGTGTGCTCACTCTCTCAGTCTCTCTCTCTAAAATATATACATCTTTAAAAAAAAGAATCTGATCAATGTTTCCCTATCAAGTAATCAATGTAATGAAGCAATGAATATAATTTTTGCTCCATAGATAGGTAAAAGTTTAAGATTGCTAACTGCTGGTGTTGGTAATGTGTGAAGCTGCAGGATCTCATCCAGTGATAGCAATGCAGATAAACTCGGCCTCTCCAGAGGATGATTTGGCAATATATATTGAGTTTCTTTATATGCAAACCCTTTTACCCAGCAGTTTTACGTCTGCAAATTTATCCTAAGGAAATAACTGGAAAAGTCTACAAAGTTGTACTAACAGGTATGTTCATCACATGCTATTCATAATACTGAAATCCTGGAAGCCATGTAAATGATTATCATCAACAGAGAGTTGATTAAACAAATCACAGTACAACCATACAATGGGATGTTGCTCTGCAGGTTTAAAAACAGTAACAAAGATCAGTATTTATTTTTAAAGGAAAGATGCCCATGAGGTATTAAGTTGAACTTTTATTTTAAAATTTTATAAAACAGGGGCGCCTGGGTGGCTCAGTGGGTTAAAGTCCCTGCCTTTGGCTCAGGTCGTGATCCCAAGGTCCTGGGATCGAGTCCCGCATCAGGCTCTCTGCTCAGTGGGGAGCCTGCTTACTCCTCCTCTCTCTCTGCCTGCCTCTCTGCCTACTTGTGATCTCTGTCTGTCAAATAAATAAATAAAATCTTTAAAAAAATAAATAAATAAATAAAATTTTATAAAACATCGTGTGTAACATGACCACACTTTGTATGTGCAGAGAATAACATAAGGAAAGGTACACATCAGAATGTTAGTAAGAGTTCTCTCTGGGTGATTGGATATAAGATAATTTTTTTTGTACTTTTTTTATTTAAGAGAGAGAGAGAATGAGAGAGAGAGAGAGCATGAGAGGGGAAAGGTCAGGGGGAGAAGCAGGCTCCCTGCTGAGCAGGGATCCCAATGTGGGACTCGATCCTGTGACTCCAGGATCATGACCTGAGCTGAAGGCAGTTGTTTAACCAACTGAGCCACTCAGGCACCCCGATAATTTTTATTTTTTTTTACGCTTTTTGTACTGTCTGAATTTATTTCAATAAACATGTATTATTTTTAATCACAAGAAAATAAAACCGTGTTCATGTTGAGAAACAGTGTAATAATGGAAATATAAAAGTGAAAAAGTTGATAACTCTCTTTCATACTCACTTCCTTTCAGGGGATGAAAACCTCTTCAGAGTATATTTCCTTTTTCTGCTATTAATTCAAGTTTTAATTTAGGGCATCCGTGAGTGTGGGCTGGGAAAAGGAAAATGAGCCAGTTCTTAGGCTCCTTGGTCAGTTTTAATTTTAGGCAGAAGAAACAGCTCTGGACTGTCTCCCACAAGGCTGCTCCTTAAAAATTCCTGTGCAAATCTGAAATCATGTCTTCCTTGACCAGTTACAAAAAGATTTATATAAAATTTGTTTAAATAGTCCTAGTTCATATAAAATATTCCTTGACTAAGAAATATTATATTTTCACTAAGTAGCTGGGTGGCTTCATGGACTGTGTGGCATGGTGTAAGCAGCCTAAGATCTGTAATGAAAGAATAATCAGAGCAGGGTGAAATTGGTCAGAAAAGTCTTTTCATTGATTCATGGGCTATACAAATATATTTTCAGCCCTGATTATACACTAGGCACTAGGGCACTGAAGATACAAAGATGGAAGACCATAGCCCTTCTTGGGAAGACCTCGCACACTGCAAGGAAATGATTGTAATACAGAGTATATGTGCAAGACGAAGTGGGAACTTAGAAGTAGGAATGCCAAAGCCTTCTTGGGGGAGTTCATTTTGGGTTAAGACTGGAAGGCTCCATAGGAATTGCATAAATATGGTTTCCTGGGAATGAGTTTTCTACTTGAAGGAAGAGAAAAAGATGTTTTGTTAGAAAGCAGCTGAAAGTTCAAGGTGGCAAATAACTAACCGTCTGAACTGATCCTTCCTGCTGGTAAAAAAAAAAAAAAAAAGAAAAAGAAAAGCTTAGAGGAGACATTTCCCCGCTTCTTCTGCAGCCCACTTAACCACCAGTTAATTTCAGTGAATGGTAACAAGGGCATTTGATGTTGATGCTGGGGTCTTCGTTGTCCTTTCTGGAAGCCAGATGCTTCTGGCAGGGGCTGGTGTGCTACTGTGTGTTAAAGGTTGTGTGTTAATGTCAAGATGGGCATGTGATAGAATTACAATTAGAAGGGGCTGCAGTATTAGGGTGGTGGAAAGACAAGAATTATTGTATGAGGGGATGCCTGGGTGGCTCAGTCAGTTAAGTGTCTGCCTTTGGCTCAGGTCATAATCCCAGGGTCCTGGGATTGAGTCCCACATGGGGCGTCCTGCTCACCAGGGAGCCTGCTTTTCCCTCTGTCTGCTGTTCCCCCCTGCTTGTGCTCTGTCTCTCTCTCTGACAAACAAATAAAATCTTAAAAAAAAAAGAGGGGGGCACCTGGGTGGCTCAGTGGGTTAAAGCTTCTGCCTTCGGCTCAGGTCATGATCCCAGGGTCCTGGGATTGAGCCCCACGTCAGGCTCTCTGCTCAGCGGGGAGCCTGCTTTCTCCTCTCTCTCTGCCTGTCTCTCTGCCTACTTGTGATCTCTGTCTGTCAAATAAATAAATAAAATCTTTAAAAAAAAAAAGAAAAGAAAGAAAGAAACTAATGTATGGATTCTAAGATAGCCTGATTCAGTGAGTCCTGGTATTAACAGTTTAGAGCAGAAAAGACTGGAAAAGATCTGGCGCCATCTCCTCACCATACAGATTTAAAAAAAAGTTACTGAGATTGCTAAAAATATCAACAAATGCCTTCTTTAAAAATAAATGATTAAATGTAATGTTCTGTATAATAGTGCTGTAGTATATCTCTGTAAAAGTCAATGGGAGGTTTCATTTTGTCCATCCGCATAGTAGGGAAATAATGTTCTGTTTCCTAGCTCTAGCTCTTGTGTGTCTTGTGTTTACATAGTCAAAGGTCAAAAGCTGACTAAGAACAGATGAATCCTTTCCTTTTGCATCATTTTTCAACTTTTCAAAGGGCTTAAAATAAACTCCTATTTTCCATTATTTACTTAAGGGATTTGTTTTGCAGAATTTGTAGCTCTTGGGAACCCCCTTGTCATTCTTACGAAGTACACAATCTGATTCTTACTCATCTATCAACATCCAAGGAATGTTGGTATTAATATGCATGGTTTGAGTCATCCAAAACAGAATAAGAAGGCTGAATTGGCCAGTGATGTTCATGACTTTCTATAAATATCTTATGTGTATAGAATCAGGAAATCACTCTTCCTTGAATAGAGGAAATGATAGAGATATAGAGATGGGGGGGCAGTGAAGGAAAGAAAAAGAGAGAAAGGGATGAGAGAATGTCTATCAGTTCTGAAACTAAGGATTAATTGCTCTGAATAAAAGCACTTCCTTTTCTAACCAGCATTTCATGTGATACATTCTTAAAAACCACTGAATCTTAATCTTCTAAGGCCTTGCAAAAATTTACAGCTGACCTTGTATAGAAAAGGGTTTGCACTAATTTTCACGTGGATTCACACTTCTGCTGAACTCTAACTTAAAATCTGTGAGATGCTATTCCCCAGAGTACATCTAGCATCCAAATCCTTGCCAGTCAACCTCTAGATAAAACTAGATTGTCAGTTCTATCTTTCCAATGCCTGTGCTACAAAGACTCAATCTGACTGTATTAGCAAGTGCAGATTTTACTGCACATGGTTTCTATTTTTCCACATTATAGGTTTTCTCTGATTAGTATTTTGAAAGGTATTGTAAAGATTTTATTTATTTATTTGACAGACAGAGATCACAAGCAGGCAGAGAGGCAGGCAGAGAGAGAGGAAGGGAAGCAGGCTCCCTGCTGAGCAGAGATCCCGACGACGCGGGACTCCATCCCAGGACCCTGAGATCATGACCCGAGCCGAAGGCAGCGGCCTAACCCACTGAGCCACCCAGGCGCCCGAAAGGTATTGTAATATAAAGGTACTAGAACCATCAGAGGGGATACCTTGTTGACATTCATCTAATCAAATATTTGTTTAGGGTTTTTGCAATAATAAACATCCCCATGGCCCCATGACTCCTTTCTAAATTGGCATAACATTTTATTAAATGTGTAGCCTGGGGGGGGGGGAATCCTAAGAGAGACAGACATTGTCATTCACTAAATCATTCTTCAATCCATTCAATGTTTGCCAAGCTCCTTTCATGTGTTAGGGAAAGGGCAGGAATTGTTGAAGATGTTGAGATAAAGGACACAGTCTCATGCACCCCAAGGAGCTCAAAGTGCTGCTATTAGTACACGATTGAGGTCTTAAGTGGATTTGTCCACTAAAGAGAATGTACGACAGCAAACCCTCCTATTAGGTGATCTGCTCCCTCTGAAATCGGATGTTCTTTTGCTGTGATGCGGTTTTGCAACTTGTTCTGTTGTTTTAGGAACAGTAAATGTTCAAAATAATAAACACTATTGAGCACCTACTGTATACTGGGTAGTGAGGCAGGCTGACCCATAAGATGACCCCCAGTGATCCCTGCTTCCTTGTATTCTTGTTCTTAATGTAATCTCCTTCTCTTAAGTATGGCTGGACTGAGTGACTTGCTTCTCACCAATAGAATATGGCAAAGGTGATGGGCTGTCACTTCTATAATTAGGTTAGAAAAGACTATGACTTCTGTTTCTATTGTTTTCATGGTCAGCATGCTCTGGTGAAGCCAATATTGGAGAGGCCCCCCCTGACAAGGAGGCTGGGGGTAGCCTCCAGGCAATCACAATCTAGGAACCAGGCCCCACAGGGTTTTTGGTGTTTTTTTAAAAAATATTTTATTTCATTTTATTTATTTGACAGACAGAGATCACAAGTAGGCAGAGAGGCAGGAAGAGAGAGAGAGGAGGAAGCAGGCTCCCAGCTGAGCAGAGAGCCCGATGTAGGCCCGCATAGTTTATCAGTCCGTGAAGAGCTTAATTCTGCCAACAATCATGTCAGCTTGGAAGCCCGTGAGAATGAGGATCCAGGTAAACTCTGCCCGTATTCCTGACTCGAAGAACCTGTGAGATAATAAATCTGTCTTGTTTTAAGCTGTTAAGTTTGGGGATTATTTGTTTTGCAGCAAGAGAGAACTAATATGGAAATTATCCTTGTTCTTAAGGAGTTGACAGTATAGCTACAGTGAGACAAAACACTAACTATAGGGGCGCCTGGGTGGCTCAGTGGGTTAAGTCTCTACCTTCAGCTCAGGTCATGATCTCAGGGTCCTGGGATCGAGCCCCACATCAGGCTCTCTGCACAGCAGGGAGCCTGCTTCCCCCTCTCTCTCTGCCTGCTTCTCTGCCTACTTGTGATCTCTCTCTCTCTCTCTGTTGAATAAATCAATAAAATCTTTAAAAAAAAAAAACAAAAAAAACCACTAACTATAACACAATGTTAAAAGTGGAATCATCTTCAGTAACTCCGCCGAGGTGGTTTCAATCAGGGACAGAATTCTGCAATTCTGGTATTTCAATGCTAATCCCAAGCTAACTTGATTTCTGTTTTTATAGGTTTTCCAGCTGGAAAGGCTTTTGAGCCTTTAGTCCTTACTCCGTATTCCACCTGAAAAGAGGAATGATACACATTGTAATTGACCAACTAGACTACATGGTCCTTGAGGGTAGGAAGAGTATTACAATTTATACTGCGTGCTTTTTCACACTGAAGGGAGGACTCACTAAATATGAATAATGAGCTATATTCTTACAGTTAGTAAAAGAGCAAAAAACACATGAAGGACCTCTGAATTTCCTGAAAGACCTGAGAATTCCAGTGCATGTACTGGAAATAGGGCGGGGTGGGGGACTGCCAACGCGGTCTTCTACAGGGCTCTGATGCACAGTTAGTTCGTAAGCCAAGCATAAGAAACCTTGGAAGACTTCCACGGGGAATATTCCCTGTGACACTGAATACTTCTCCCAGAAGCTTTCCAGCATCACTAAAACAAGAGCCCTGCGTGTTATTTGTACTGATGATAGCAGATGCTGCCTGTGGTCTGCCTGTAACCTGTAGGTACTGGCCATCACCAAGTACGCCAGGGCAACCTTCTGCAAGCACCCACAAGTTTCCATTTGGGGGTTTCAGCCAGGAGTGCCAGTGCAGCTCTTAGCTACTGACATGTGAATGGGAGGGAAAATCCCTGAACTTCCTTGCCCTCCTTTGGTGGGATGACTCTGAATTGTGTTCTCTGCTATTATCCATAGTTCCCCAGTGGTACTGACAACCCTCCCACCCCACCTATTGACAGGGGTAACCCACTCAATAACACGTTCTTGCTTCACCCCAAAATAAACTACTTGGACTCAAGTCTTTGTCTCAGAGTTGGTTTCTGGGGAAACCTGGTGAACAAAATAACTTAGATAGGAGATTTAAGTCTGAATCTTGTTGAGTTGGTCCTGTCGAAGCTGTTTTGTTCAAGCATCTCAGGAAAGAAAGAGACCTAACTTGGTGAAGTGTGATCCAGTGGGAAGCCTGGGTGGGGAGGGCATGACTTGGAAGCTGACTTGCTCACTGGGGTGAGGTGAACACCAGGGCCTGGGGTGAGAGAGAATTTTTTTCATGATACTGACTTCCTAAGAATTTTTAGAATATTGACAAATAAAATAGTTGCTAATAGCTAGTAGTCAACCCAGAGCTTGGTTTCCTTCAGCAAAGCTGGGAGAAGGTTTAAGTCAACTCATCAAGCCCAACCTCTGCCCCAAGCAAGGTCCAGAAGGTCCCAGATGTGGTTATGCTCCTACTTGGCTCTTTTGACATCCTAAGCCCTCCCAGCCGTTGAATGGCAAAGGCCTAAAATAGGGTCATTTCCATTTCTGTGCCTGGCTCTAGTTATAATCACCCAAAACAAGCCTGTAAGGTCCCTAGTAGCACCGGGGAAGTACGAATGTTTATTTTTAAATAAATGATTTTTCCTCTGGTTTAATCAAAAGCTTTCATAAAGTTTGGTTTTAAACCATATGCAAATATACTCATCTCTGAAGGATTTGGCAAAGATTTATTTGCCTTTCTATTTCCAGTTTTTAAATGTACACACAGATTAACACTGATTCTGAGAGCCGCCACACCCACCAATCCAGCACAAAGGATACAGTTAAATACACCAACTACATACACTGAGGAAGAGTCTGAAACCGGACTGGGCAGGTGCCTCCAACAAAAAACCGACCCTTAACAGTTACTTAACTGAGTCACAGTTGGAAGTTTCGGTCATTATATGTGAAAGCACAAGCATTTCAGTGTATGAACTCCACTGTGGAGCTTGCATTTGCCCCTTGGCTTTCTAGTTCCTACTTCTCCAAGAATAAAGAGCATGGTTCAGTGCAGTCTTTAGTAGACAACACAGTCACATCCTAAGTGTTTATCCAAAGGGGCTGATAGAGGTTGTCAGATATTCTGACAGAGATCCCCATCCCATGCCCAGCAGATGTGAGAGCAGCTGAGATAGAAGAAAAACTTTGGAAATTTCACTGAGAAAATGCCCTTTTTCTTCATAACATACGTGTTCCTTCCTCATGCCAAGAGAGGCCGTGTGCTTTCCATGTTTAAAGGAAGACTTTTGGGGGCACCTGAGTGGCTCAGTCAGTCAAGCAACCCACTCTTGATTTCAACTCACGTCATAATCCCAGGGTCATGGGATCAAGCCTTGTGTTGGGCTCTAGGCTCAGCAGGGAGTCTGCTTAGGACTCTCTCCCTCTCCCTCAGCACCATCCCCACTCATGCGAGCAATCTCTTTCAAATAAATAAATATAAATCTTAAAAAAAAGAAAAAGACCATCTTTTGGAGGACGGGGAGTTTTCAGACTGATTTGACCAACTCCATGTCCGATCTGAGCTTTCTTCAAAAATGCTTTCGATTTCTTCTTCCAGTGTAGTCTTTGGGCTGAGAGCTGTTTTCACCCCCCAGTGGTATGGGTGTGTATTTCAGAAACTATTAGTACCTTGTGGTGTCTGTGAGTGAGATGGCTCTTCACAGTGGGCACTCTTCGAAGGGCATCATCTAGATTCATGCTGCACATTCAGTAGTGTTCTATCCATGCCATGATTGTAAGTAGCAATTGTGGTTGACCACTGTTCAGTGCCCTTAATACTAAAGTGTGGCTCCACACAGGGACCCTGTAGGTTCTCTTCCTATAGCCTAGACACTGCGATTCTGCTCATCAGGTCAGGATCAAGTGGGAATGAGAGTCTAAGTCATTACTTTTACGTCTTGCAATATGCTTTATAAATATTTTAACAAAAGTAATATAATATTCAGATAAAATTCCTCAATTACCTTTCTTCACTTTCCTTCCCAAGTACTCCCAGGGAATATCCCTGGGAGTAACTCCAGTCCATGACTCTAGTTATTATGTATGTGTGCATCCATCATCAATCTATACAATGTTTTTTATTTTAAATTAGTTTATATCATATTGTCTATTTCTGCAACCTGGTTTATTCCCTTTTAATGGTATGTTTTTGTGATCTAGTTACAACATTAATATATAGAGACTCAGTTCATTTTTTTAAATTGCTATTTGAATGTTCTTGGGAATAGAAACTTGATTTTTCATTTCCCCTCTGATGGGTTTCAGATGTCCCCAGCTTCTTATAGCTGTCTCCTATGCACATATTTTCAAGTTTCTCTGCAGGAGGACCTTTTAGGTCATAAGAAATGTAAATTTTTAGCTTTCCTGGATATTGGGGGTTTTGTTTATTTTTTTTGGAGTTAACTTTTTATTTATTTTTTATTTTTTAAGTAAATATTATGCTCAACTTGGGGCTTGAACCCACAACCGTGAGAATTGCACCTCAAGAGTCACAAACTCCACTGACTGAGCCAGCCAGGTGCCCTTTTACTGGATATTGTTAATTTGATGTCAAAATATTTGTATTTTGGGGGCGCCTGAGTGGCTCAGTGGGTTAAAGCCTCTGCCTTCAGCTCAGGTCATGGTCCCAAGGTCCCGGAATCGAGCCCCGAATTGGCCTCTCTGCTTGGCAGGGAGTCTGCTTCCCCCTCTCTGTCTCTGCCTGCCTCTCTGCCTGCTTGTTATCTCTCTCTCTCTGTCAAATAAGTAGATAAATTCTTAAAAAAATATATAGTTGTATTTTGGTTTTGGCTCAGTTCGTGATCTCAGGCTCATGTAATCGAGCCCAAGTTGGGCTCCACGTTCAATGTGGAGTGTGCTTATCCCTCTCCTCCTGCTCCCCACCCCCCACTCATGCTCTCTCTCCCTTTTTCACTCTCAAATAAATAAAATCTTTTAAAAAATAGCTTTATATATTTTCACTCCCACTAGTAGATTTTGCAAGTTTCTGTTTTCATATTTCCAATGTTTCATATTGTACAATTAAACATTTTGTAGACAATCAGATAGATATAAAAAAGGATCTAATTTAATTTGTATTTCTCTCACTATAGCAAGGAGGAGCATATTTTTGTATATTTTGGTCACTTTGTTTTCCTTTTCTGTTTCTTGTGCATATTTTTTGCCCATTTTCAAAAATTGGGGGTTTTGTTTTACTGCGTATTGGTCTTATGCCCTTGTATATCTTAGATACTTTGTAATACCTGTTATAAATATATTCTCCTAGTCTATGGCCTTTTTTTTTTCTTTTTTTTTAAGAGGGTTTTTTTTGTTTGCTTTTTAAAGATTTTATTTATTTATCTGTCAGAAAGAGAGAGCAAGCACAAACGAGAGGAGAGGCAGGCAGAGGGAGAAGCAGGCTCCTTGCTGAGCAATGAGCCTGGTGTGGGACTCGATTCCAGGATCCTGGGATCATGGCCTGAGAGGAAGACAGACACTTAACTGCCTGAGCCACTCAGGTGTCCCTTTTTCTTTTTTTTAATTGGAGAATGTATACTCATGTGCATGGGTAGGGGGAGGGCAGAGGGAGAGAGAGAATTCCAAGCAGGCTCCACACCCAGTGTAGAGCCCAACACAGCTGATCTCATGATCCGGAGATCATGACCTGAGCAGAAATCAAGTCAGTTGCTTAGCTGAGCTACCCAGGCGCCTCATATGGCTTGTTTTTAAACCAGATTTTTAAGCTAAGCTGTAATTTTGGCGTCATTTAAAAATTACGAGCAAATTTATTAATTTTTTTCTTTATGATTCATGCTCTTTCTGTCCTGTTTTAAGAAATTCTACCTAACTCAAGTTCATGAAGACATGAACTATGTATTTCATTCTAATAGTATAAAAGTTGTGCTTCGCGTATTTTGATGTCAGGTCTTTATTTTTTCTGTAACTTATCTGTGCATAGGGTGTTAGGTACTAAAATTCTGATTTTACTTATACACACCTCGAAGTGAATTTTTCCAATTCTGTAATTTTTTACAATGGAAATAGCTTTCTTTTTTTTTTTTAAGATTTTATTTATTTATTTGACAGAGAGAGATCACAAGTAGGGAGAGAGGCAGGCAGAGAGAGAGGGGGAAGCAGGCTCCCCGCTGAGCAGAGAGCCCAATGTGGGGCTCGATTCCAGGACCCTGGGATCATGACCTGAGCCGAAAGCAGAGGCTTTAACCCACTGAGCCACCCAGGCGCCCCTGGAAATAGCTTTCTGACGATATAAACAACTCGTAATCACTGTTAAAATTCAAATAATTATTTAACATATGAAGAAATACATTAAAAGTTACCTAAGAGCTTGTTGCCCTAAGATAGTCACCATTGATATTTTCAACATCATTGGCTGACCGTCTGTCCTCTTCCCACTTGTTTATGGAACCAACTCTGTCATACAGGAAGAGGACTTTTCTAGCACTCAGGCAAAATTAGAGAATTAACTCTAGAACTGGATATAATTTACAGAATTTGAAGTATCAACATAAAGGGTTTTCAAGTTCAAGTACATCATGTGATTGCCTGATTTCATTAAGAGTATAAATAAGTAAAAAGAATAAGTAGGAGCATCATGTGAGAAGTAAGGATTTCCCAGGAACAGCCGGTTCTTCCGTGGTTTGAGGAAGTGAGAGAACAAAGACTACAGATTATGAAACAAGGATACAATTTCTCTTAGTATCATGCCCAGCATGGTAGGTTCATCTTGCTGAATGTCTTCAAGTTTGGACCATTTGTGTTTCCTCTAATAAATAATCTTAAATTTTGTCACAGAGGTATACAAGGAAAAACAGAGCCAGTTCCTAGAAAAGCACCACCTAACTTGGGTAGAAGGTGAAAACTTGCATCGATCAGTCCATTTTCGAGACTCTGTGGTATGGTATGTGAAGTGAAGTGGGGTCTCTTGTGTTCAGGGGTTTTCAGACGGAGCCAGTTGGCCATAAAGGTGGTGGGCCTTACCCATGTCCTCACTGGTGGAAC